AAAAAAAAATAAGCTAACCTTATTTCTACCGGTAAATTCCTTTTTCCGGTGTCTGACGGAGGATTCATACACGCGAAAAGTCGGAAACTTGAGTTACATCCAGCATAATCCATGATATGCACGATCGCATCTAGGCACTCAGGAAGAGCTAGGTTGATCTCATCAACAAGAATCCATTCTCCTTTTTCGGTGGCCTAAAAAACTGATACTTGCGGAAATGTGATTGACAAGACACGAATTAGTCAAAAAGGAAAGAAAATTGTACTACAGATTTTGGCGTCTTAAACGTAGCCCAACTTTTTTGACGACTGAATGCAGACAATACGCACGATTCTTAGACAATTTTTCAACCTTTACATCCTCATTTTGCTTAAAACAGACGGGCAGTAAAATCAGCAGTTTTTCATACAAGATTCATACAGTCTCAAAAAGCAGCCATTCGAGAATGTAGAACTTAAAGCCAACACATTTCCAAAAATCTTATGCACAAAAAAATTTAGTAAAAAAATCCCAACATTCATCCAAACACTGCTTTAGGCAAGAGCATGCAGCATGAAAACACAAAAACACCACCAAACAACAAGGTTTCAAAAGTCCTACTGATCTCGAGATGTTTAAACTTAAAGCTGAGAATCCAGTACTTCAGTAAAAATGCCCCGCACGTATGCAAAAGACAGCGCAGAGCTTTCTAATGCCCGCTTCAAGCGACGAGAACGAACTGCGATTTCAGCCCATTTTTTCACGTCACAATTTTTAGATTTCGCAGCAATCGCTCGTTTTGCTGTCCCGTCAATTAGTTTAAGATAGTCCAAATATCGCCCAGAAGAGAGACAATCCTTCAAAGTTAAAGTGTATTAAAAAAAGTGGCAGAAAATGAAAAAGAACACTGAGGCTTTTTTGAGTTAGAAAAGTATAGTTTTCCACTCACATCTAAGTGGTTGAAAAATTTCGAATTCTTTTCTAAATTAAAAGTTTCCGCAAACAGAGTATCATAACTAGATCGCAGTGGCTGCAAGGTGGCCATAATCGATACAGGTTTAAATCTAAAATAAACCAATTTAGCGAAGGCAGAACACTTCAATTACGTTCATTTGATTAAAAAAACGTACATTTCTCAATCAAAAAAAAAAAAAAAACACTTCTCAATAACTTAATTGAACTTCAAACAGTCAAAATCGATATGCAATGCGTCAAAAAAACTCACCCTCCTATCAAATCAGCCGCATCAGAATGTTGACTTAAATTGACAACGTGAAGG